CAACGCAGCTAGGAGCTAACGTTAGGCTAACTTTAGCTAACGTTAGCTAGAGATGTTAAAGATAACTTTATATTTCTTTCCAGCAAAGTGACAATATGTTGCCTCAAACACAATGTTGACTTACCTTAGAACAGATGTAGACATCATTGTTAATCTTATTCACGTTGAGTTGATGTTGTGGTCTAACGTTACCACACAACTTTATCCAAAGGAGACACTTTTCTCGCTTGAGATGTGGTTTAAAGTGTAAAAATACACCTGGTCGCCCAGCCTCTCAGGATACCTTGTGTCAGAGTTGCATGTACCCCATGCACACCGTTTGACCATTTTTAAACTTCAAATCTCAGAAAAAACGAAAAAAACGAAAATGGCTATACGCACTGTGATTGGCTCATCGTGTCTGAGGGCGGGACTTAGCCATAGGTCAATTGACAGCCAACTATTACTCGTGAAATATTTATTAAGAAAATGATTCAAGAATTAATTTCAGCACACCTGGACTGGCATCACGGCACACCTTTTGAGAACCACTAATAAATAAGCAGTAATATAAAACGTTTGGTCAAACAAAACTAGCTCTTGTGTTTTTATTCTTTTCAGGATAATAAGTCTTTAATACTTATCTTAATACTTTATACATTAATCTGATCAACTGGTGATAAAGGTGAAACACATGTAACGTTAATGCTTCATAATAAAATGAGCCGCTGTGACTGTTCACATTTGTGACATCGTTTGCGGTCGACGACCAGATTCACACAGGATTCACCCAGTAAAGAAACTGGTGGTTTCGATCCAACATCAGTGTGACGACAGTGAAACTACACGTTTAACTGGACAGAGCTTCAGTGTTGACCGTGGGCGTCTCCTCCTCGGCCCCGTCCTGCACGGATCTGATTGTGAACACCTGTTGAGCTCTGATTCAAGGATTTCCTCCCCCTGACCTCTGACCTCTGATCCCTGCAGGTGCAGACATTAACAGTCAGGCTGCTGACGGAGCCACCGCTCTGTATGAAGCTGCTAAAAATGGACACGGACAAATCGTGGAGCTTCTCCTCTCTCAGAACGCTGATGCCAACAAACCTGGAAAGACGGGGTTGTTACCGATTCACATCGCCGCCCAGAGAGGAAGTGAGAGGTATGCACGCTGACTGCATTACTTAAGTTACAACAGAGCAGGTCTCAGAGCTGTGTCTCGGTAGTCGTCACGGTGACATCACAACAGAACATGACGAGTTTCTTCGTCCAATAACATCAATGAAACATTTAAAAGTTCAGTAACTCAGAGTCTGAGCTCGGTCTGGTCTAATTCCTGTGATGTTTACTGTTCCAGTATTGTCTCCATGTTGATACCAGCCACCAGTAAGGCCAGAGTCCGGCGGTCTGGCATCAGCCCGCTCCACCAGGCCGCTGAACGTAACCGTGACGATGTCCTGGAGCTTTTGATCAAGGCAGGCTTCGATGTTAATGCTCAGCTGTCTGAGGATCGATGTAAGCTGTACCAGGACCGCCGCAGCACGGCGCTCTTCTTCTCCGTCATCAACAATAACATCGACGCTGTGCACATGCTGCTGAAGGCCGGCGCCAACCCAAACCTGGACATGTTTAGGCCGCTGATGGTGGCGGCGAGGCAGGGCTGCATCCAGACCGTCACCATGCTAGTGGAGCATGGCGCCGACATCAACGCCTCCATCCCCACACACCCCACCACGTTCCCCGCTGTCTACATGTTCTCCATGAAGTACCTGTCCATGTTCAAGTACCTGCTGGACCACGGAGGCCACGCCCTCCCCTGCTTCAACTGTCTCTACGGCAACGGACCTCATCCACCAATCAAAACCACTCGATCAGACAGAGACTTCAATGAAGCCGACAGAGTCCCCCAGCAGAGCAGAGGAGTTCAGGTGACCTCAGTTTGTTTACATGTTTACATGTTTACATGTGGAAAGTAAACAACAGAGTAAACATCAGAGTAAGCAACAGAGTAAACAACAGAGTGAAAGAAAAGTCAACTTTTAATAAGAAGTACCAAAAAATTTAAATGATTTAAAATGAACGCAATTTTGTTTCATGACATTACATTCAACATGTAAAAAAAAAAAGTTCTGTGGTTGATTGACAGTTCTGTGGTTGATTGATAGTTCTGGGATTGATTGACAGTTCTGGGATTGATTGACAGTTCTGTGGTTGATTGATAGTTCTGGGATTGATTGACAGTTCTGTGGTTGATTGACAGTTCTGTGACTGATTGACAGTTATGGGATTGATTGACAGTTCTGTGGTTGATTGATAGTTCTGGGATTGATTGACAGTTCTGTGGTTGATTGACAGTTATGGGATTGATTGACAGTTCTGGGATTGATTGACAGTTCTGTGGTTGATTGACAGTTATGGGATTGATTGACAGTTCTGGGATTGATTGACAGTTCTGTGATTGATTGACAGTTCTGTGATTGATTGACAGTCCTGTGATTGACTGACAGTCCTGTGACTGATTGACAGTCCTGTGGTTGATTGACAGTTCTGTGATTGATTGACAGTCCTGTGATTGATTGACAGTTCTGTGGTTGATTGACAGTTCTGTGGTTGATTGACAGTTCTGTGACTGATTGACAGTTCTGTGAGATGATCTCGGCCCCTAGTATCTGTCGGTGGGCGGGGCCAATCATCGACGTCCTGTTGGACTACGTTGGTAACGTGACTCTTTGCTCCAGACTGATGGAACACCTGGACAGTTACTCTGGCTGGAGCGTCATCAAGGACAAAGCAGGTGAGTCTGTTATAACCCCGCCCCCTCCCCACGTAAGCATGTTACTGGTTTGTCTCGCAGTGTCTCAGTGGTGTTACTGGTTTGTCTCGCAGTGTCTCAGTGGTGTTACTGGTTTGTCTTTCAGAACCTCCGCGGTCACTGTTGCAGCTCTGCCGGCTGCAGATTCTGCAGCTGGTTGGACCTCACCGTCTGAAGAGGTTGCCGCTGCCTGGAAGTCTGATCCGCTTCCTGCAGCACCAGGAGAGACCTGACGAGGAGGACTGAAGGAAATCCTGATGTTTACTCTTCACTCAGATGACTGATGGAGGGTATTGATTAGTATTAATTAGTACTGATTACTTGGGACATTTAACATGATGAAAACATGAAGAGACTGAGCGACTCCACACTGTTTCTTTTAAGATGTTTCAGGAAGTAGTCTGTGACGCTTTTCTTGTCATGAGTAGATCCAGGAATTCTACAACACATCCACGTGTTTCCACGTGTTTCCAGGAGGCTTCAGTTCCCTCTTTAATGGTGTAACTTTGAACATATAAGTTTTTGTCATTACGCATCATCACGTTGTTTATCTGCAGTTTAATTGTTTATTTTAGGTGTAAAGATGTGATAAAGCTGTAAAATAGATTCTTTGCTACAAACTAATAAAATCTTAGTTCATAATTTGTCCTCTTTGAGATTATTAATTAATTCATGTCTGATGTTGAATTGAGACTCAGCAGACAAACTGTTATTATATTTACCTGAGTCTGTCGTGGTGTTATATCTTCAGTAATGACTGTGATCTTTGCGCTCTGTCACACTGGTGATCGATCAGTTTAATGATCGCCTGGGTCAGTTTCCACACGGTGATGTCACAGCTCTCAGTGTGTTTATGAGATGATTTCATGTCTGTGTTTCACTTTAATGAAACACTTTGACAGTTTTACTTTAAGCCGCAGACACACTGTTAAGTGATCGTTAATTTAAGACTATTAATAACCAATGAGATAATAATGACCTCATAGCTCTCACACTCCGGTCTGCCATAATATCAATGAACACATTTACACTGAAATCTCTCCTGAGGCAGATTTAACTTTAGTTTATGAACATATAACAGTTTAAAAGCCTGTGTCATAACTCAGATACATTTGATTAATGTTTGTGTTTCAGTGACAAATAACTGTTTCTACATGAACCTGTCTCTGCTTCACTGTCTAACGTCTGAGAAATTCTGTAGGGCTGAAAATACAGAGCTGGTCCTGAACGCACCATGAGACACTGCTGTCTGCTCTCACCCCTCCTCCCCCCTCCTTATCCCCATCACCCACTGCCTCCCCTCCCAGGTTTTTTTACTGACACTTCAGACCCTGATCAGGAGACAGCAGCGTCTGTTTTAGGATCAGAAAGCTGCTGACTGATCCGGACTCTGGACTGATTCGGACTCCCTGTGGATCCAGACTCTGGACTGATCTGGATTCAGGTCTGATGTGGTGTGGAGTGTTTCCAGGATGATGCAGAGTTTGTTCCTCACAGTTTTCTTCTGTTTCCTCCAGGTGAGATCTGACAGATACTTTATACTAATTAAAGTAACATCAGATTCATTCTCACAGCTGTTATACTGTTAGATTACTATTCTTATATTAATATACACTCAGCAGCCACTTTATTAGGTACACCTTGCTTGTACCTGGTTGGTTACCTTGGTTATAACCAGTAGTTATTTGACTTCCTGTTGCCTTTCTATCATCTTGAACCAGTCTGGCCATTCTCCTCTGACCTCTGGCACCAACAACCATGCCACGTTCAAAGTCACTTAAATCACCTTTCTTCATCATTCTGATGCTCCATTTGAACTTCAGCAGCTCGTCTTCACCATGTCTACATGACTAAATGTTAATGAGCTGCTGACACCTGATTGGCTATTTCCATTAATAAGCAATTGAACAGGTGTACCTAATAAAGTGGCCAGTGACTGTATAATATTACAAAAACTCTGTATTATAATATAAACTCCAGCTGTTTACAGTGGTTAGCATTGTCACCTCACTGCAGGAGGGTTCCTGGTTTGAACCCAAGGTTGGGGGAGCCCCTCCATGCAGAGTCTGCATGTTCTCCCCATGTCAGCGTGGGTTTCTTCGGGGTGCTCCGGCTTCCTCTAAATTGTCGCCAGACTATCACAGGACTGACACATAGAGACAGACAACCATTCACACTCACATTCACACCTACGGACAATTTAGAGTCACCAATTAACCTGCATGTCTTTGGACTGTGGGAGGAAGCTGGAGCATCTGGAGGAAACCCACGCTGACACGGGGAGAACATGTCAGAGCACCTGGAGGAAACCCACGCTGACACAGGGAGAACATGTCAGAGCACCTGGAGGAAACCCACGCTGACAC